CCAGTTAATCTTTGGCTTCATTATAATATTAAGCCAGTAGTTGCAGCTCTGTCCATTTCCCACATGAACAGGCGAGCGGAAAGGGATGTGATAGAGAATTTTTGCTCAGAACCTTGCTAGTGGGAGTTCTTAACATTTTAATAATAACTCACAATGCACCCTCCTGTGGTGTTGTCTTCTGTATTCCCAATTTATTGCATAAAACTCCCTTTCCAGTGCTGAGTATATAAACAAGTCAAGAATTGAAACTTTGACGAAAAGAAACCAAATAAAACATCTTTAAAGGAATTTCCAGTAACAGAGAATCAATGTATTTTTTAAGCCCACTGTTTACAGCAGGTGCTTCTGAGGTAAACCTGGTTTGGATCTTGTGATTGCCTAAAAAGCAGAGCCCACATGACATGATCAATGCACAGCTGTGGTCCTGTCTGCAGCGCTCTGGTATCTCCCACCCTAAACACCTCGGGTGCTAGGCAACCTGATATGGTCCCTGGGCATGTAACAAACGCCCCCCCAACTGTGCTCACTCCTCTGTAGCAATCCTCAGCTCCCTAGCCTCAACCACTGTTCCCCACACAATCTGCCCCAGAGGCTATTGTCCACATGCCCCTTTCCCTCCCTCCTCAGTGACTCTGGTAGCTTCCATGTGTCCCCCAGTGGGTGACATGACTCCTTCCTTGGAACTGAAGTATAATAACCCACCTTTTCAATGACTATGTTCTGATCTTTTGGCCTCACCATACCTGAATAATATCAAAACCCATGTTTTGAGAAACCTTGTTAAACTTCGTTTGAAATTAAACATTTGTTTTAAAAAAATTAGCTGAGATCAGGTTGGCTATATGGCAAGACCTTAACTCAACCAGAAACACAGAGAGAGAGAGAGACAGAGGGAGACAGAGAGACAGAGACACAGAGACACAGATACAGAGAAAGAGATATCTCAAGGTTGATTATTAGCTCTGTGTGGTACAAATCCATAGTGTGGGGGTGCCTGTGGTCCTCGGGACTTTAATGCACACACGTCTCTACTAGCCAGGAGAGCCTTTCTCCTATTCCCCTGCACAGGAAGCTGCTTTTAAACACTTTCCCTGAGACTCTCACTGCTGCTTCCTCCAGTGCCTTAGCTGTTATGAACTCCACAGTCTGCAGTCTTCTGCCCCAGGCATCTGCCAGCCTGCAGGCCCTCCGTGACTTTAACAGGACTCACCCACTGCTTTCCGGCTTCTTCTGGCCTGACATCTGAACATCTTTTGCTGTCAGAACCCCATGCATATAACCCAGAGACCAACATGACACAGAGACCAAATCTGCAGTTTGAGATACCTTAAAATAGACATCTTAGAATGCTGTCTGTGCTGTCTCCAGTTCACAAGACACTGGTGACTGAACCACCAATTCTCCAAAACCACAGCAGGTCACAGCAGGGATGGATGGGACTATACAAAGTAAAAATGGCATGCAAACCCCTACTGCTTCCTGACTGGATGTTTGCTTAGCTACTGCAGACCTTTGCTTCCCAGAGCTCTCAGGAAACTGTTCTAGCCAGGGTCTAGTTATTCCTATGATGCCCCTGGTGGAGTCATGGCCTGAAACTTTCTAACCTAGCATCTTGATGATGACTAAGCCTTGGTTTCACTGTAAAATGGTTCCATGAAGTGGGAGAGAAGCTCCCACAGTGTAAAACATTTGCACCCACCATCTCCAATGAGCCCCAGGAAGTGGTGGCCACTCCACTCCTTACACATATGCCAACAGAGGAAGAAAGGGAGTTGACCGGCAGCACCCAGCACCACCTGAGGTTAATGGCACAAGGATGTGCCATAGTGGGAAGCTCCTCAGAGGTACAGGAAGGGTCTGGACCTCTGAGGAGAAGAGAATACAGGCAGGAAAGGAGAGGGCAGGAAGGGGGCGGTGCCATAGCTAACTGTCCTTCAGGACACTAACCGTGGACAGAAGATGACAGCCCACGGTCCTGACCTGTTTGCTGGCTTGCAGATCCTCATCTAGCCTCAGGTTGCTTTCTGACATGGTATATCCTATTCACTTTTGTTAAAATATACACGGTGTATATTTTTCAGGGCTTACTTTCGCCCAGTTTTCAGTGGCATGTATAGCTACTTTCTAATACAACTTGTGAAGAGGAGGTTTAAATGGAATGTAGACTGTTTCTGCTTTTTAAATTTTTTATTGAATTTTTTAAAATTTTCATTCATGTATACATAAAATGAACACATCTCTCAACTATCACCAGAGACATTTCCTTATGCAGTGCATGATGATTAACATAGAAACCCACAACTGGCCAATGTGCACAGAGCAAGAGGATGCAGAGTGCTCATCCCTGAATAGATTTATTTTTAAAGCAAAGCACTACACTTAAAATAATTTCTTAGTATTACATTGTTCCTCCACTTTACAAAGTAGTTAAAGGCTAAGTTATACTTCTTGCATTCCACAGGATCAGCCCCTCTCCATAGGCCTGAGATGTCTGGTTTCCCTGGCTCATGTAGTTGGGGGTGCAGTTCTCTAGGTTTCTTCCTCTGGTCATTGAGTCAGTACCATGAAGCAGGTGTGCTGAGAGCCAGAGACGCTCAAGCACAAGCCAGTCAGCCCCCAGTCTCCTCACTGAAACCTTAAGAGCACCTGATAGAATGCAGAAGTTCTCTCTCTCTCTCTCTCTCTCTCTCTCTCTCTCTCTCTCTCTCTCAGGCGGGCACTCGTTCACTCTCTGTGCATGGTGTGTGGGTGCCCCCCTCCATGAAGCAAAAGTTTATCTATCTTAACAACTCCATTGAATCTGCCCTCCAGGGGCCATTTCCCAAATCTGTCCCTGTTCTCCCTCTTCTTGGTGACTCTGGAATGCTTCATCACTTTCCGGCCTCTCTGCTTGGAATGTTGACATTGTCCCACCTCTCATCCCAGGGCTAGAGCATCAGCATTCTTTCCCCACTCTTCTGCCTACAGTCCCCTTCTCTTGCCACCTCTGACCCAAGCAGAACCTGCCTCACTCTCCATCTTTATCTGCCATGTTTAACCAGCAGTCAGGGCTAAAGTTACTTGTGACTGCTTTTGTGAACTCTTCTCTCCAGTCTTCTGAATCCTGTTGCAGTTTCACCTAGTCACATGGCAACTCTGGCCCCAGCAAACCAACTCCCCTTCTTGATGTCACCTCTTTGCTCTGGCACTTTTTCACAATATTAAAGTTTTGAAGTCAGTCATTCAAACGAAGAAGCACAGATTTCTATTTTAGCTCTTAAATCCTTCATTGTCCATATCCCTAGTGCCTCAAACTTTCTTCCATCTATGTGAATGTTAACATGTATTTTCCCCAGGTTCATGCTGGCCTTGGCTGAGGTGCCTTTACATTGTGTGCAATACCCTTCCTGTACATCATTTGGTGGTAGCCAGTCCTCTCCCATTCTTTTTAACATATTACTTTTATGAGGCTATCATCCTCAAATACTGGGAAAGGCTGTCTGTTGACTGACTAATAAGGTCCTTAACTTCCTGCCACATCAGTTACAAACAAGCAGAATTTGGCCTCAAACTATCCTTTCAGAGAGATCAACAATTACTTTCTAGATTTCAGTTTATGATGAGGAACTGGACTCTTTCTTGAAAGTCAAATGCACACTCCAATTTATCCTGTAGTGCTGACCTTTAGCACGGACTTAAACTAATGCCAACTATTCAGGGACCACTGCTACGCCCTTTGATGTAGCATGCTTATGAGATGGGACCTTTCAACTGGACATGGTAGGGAAGCAAATCTTGCTATTTGTAAGCCCAAAACTTGTCACAGCCCCTGAAGCAAGCGTGCTCAGTGCCATAGCTGGTGGCTTTTGAACATCCGTTTTCTAATCAGTAAAGGAGGCAAATACTGCCTATTTTATAAAATTTGACATGGGAATTAAGTGAGACCATGGATACTAAATTCTAATGGAATCCCTGGCATATTTTAGATCCTTAATAAATACTTTTCTGTCTCTGTTCACTACAGTTACATGCTTCTCCTGAACTTCTCTTAGCCATCATCTTTTTAATGTTTGATATAACCTGCTACCAATTAAAATACTTTTAGAGTGCTACAAAAGCAATTTATCTTATTAAAAGATTATAGAAGGCTGGATATATATGCAGTGGTAAAATAAAATAGTTGCTTTACATGTGCAAGGCCCTCCCAGAATTCCAAAAAAAAAAAAAAAATGTAAAAGGAAAAAAGATAAGAAAGGGATTGCAAACTTGAAGAGTGGGGTGAGGCCAGAGCAAAGCAAACGCCCATCAGCATCACTGCATCAGTCAGCGCATCACAGTCACTGCTCAACACTGACCTCTGTGTGAATTAATGCCTCAGCAAGTGCATACTGCGAATAAAGTATGATGCGTGTGGTCTGCTGTTGCTGACACTTCCTGGTTGTTCTCTTTTTAAAAAATGAGGCTGGATTAATTTGAAAAGTTATGACTTATCCTCTCAATGCTAGCAGATACATTCCCCTAAGCCCAGAAACCATCTCTAAATTCCAGAAATGGACCTGAGTCACTTACCAAAACAAGAAAGCACAGAGAAATGGTCAGTGATAAACACAGGTAACTAGTTAACGAGTTGAGGGTCCAACATAAATCGATTACAATGCTCACTTTCCCAGTGATAAGGCATCAAGGGAAGCTATATTCTCTCCTTCACAATCCATATAATAATAGCCTTAAAAAGTGAATTCTGCTTGCTTCTGTAAGATATTGAAACTGCGGAATAATTTTAGAAGCAAACTTTCAGGCCACCTTTGGCTCTCTTCTCACACACAAGGTCACAGTTTCAAGAAGGTTAGACATGTAATGAGAGAGGCAGAGAGAGCCCAGAATTTGGTGTTTTTGTGGTTACAAAGGCTAGTAGGTAACCGCCCATCTTTCTTCACTTTCCTGCTAAAACCTCTTCTTCATCTTTCACTTTAAAAAATGTTGTTTTAAAAGCAGTGGGTCACAATGCATTAAAATATTACCATATCGTCTCCAGGCTGCAGTCTCGGGGGGTAAGTGTTGCCACAGGATCAGGTTGTTGAGATGATTGAGATAGGACGGGAGAGAATGGAAACCCTTCTGATTGTACCACACCTGAAAAAGAAAGACCATTTAATGGCTGTTATGAAAGCAGCTCTTAAGTCTATTCTGAGGTAGAAATGTGTGTGTCAATTACCTCCAACAGCACCTGAACACAGGACTAGGAACAATGTTCCCTCAAGGCTGCCAGTGAGCAGCCAATTCCAGTCTGCTAATTTTATATTTATCTCAAGCATATAATTTACAGCTAAAAATAGATTAATTTCCCCCAGAACAAATGTGAATGTTTCTTTATAATTATAGTCTCTCAGGGTTTGGGAACCAAAGCCCATTATTTTTCTCTCTCTCTCAGTTGGTAAGCTAATGAAATTTGACCTGCAAATTAAAGGCATGGAAGATGATCAGAAAAAATGATTACTTTCAAATTAATAACTGCATGTGGAACATTGTTTCTCAAAATAAATTGATTTGAACATTTGCTGAGCATGGAGATTACTGTCATGTACCTCTGGAGATGAGAAAGGGGAAGGAGAAAAGAGAAAGACAACGTGATTAAAGTCAGGTACTAAGTAGCCTAAAAAGCATGGATCAAACCATAGTTAGCCAGATTCCAAAATAGCAATATGTCAATGAAAACCAAAATACATATGGTAAACCTATAAAGCTGGTGTCTTCAAGCAATAAAATGAATCAGCTAGTACATGCAAGTCTTTATTCAATGCTGTGGAGCAGGTTTCTGAAGACAAATGCTGTTTTGTAACAGATAATCAATCTACTTTGAAGAATGAGAGTAGCCCCAGAAAGTTAACCCTCACAGATGCCTATTCAAGTTTGCACAGATGATGCAAAGTTGAGAGCTAGACCTCAGTCAGCTGGCTTCCATCTCACTGTGACCAGTTGTATATCACAAGGACCTGAGTAGAAGCTATTCTGTTTCCAGGGACAGCTAAGTAAGTAATAAAACACTGGTCTTAGAGATACAGTACAACACAATAAAAACCCACAACACAAGTCAATATTCTCCAGGTCTTTCTTACCCTGCTTCATTAAGCAGTTCAGTAAACAGAATCCCTATCTCTTTCACATAACTAACTCCCATTTTCAAATCATTATTTAATTCATAAAGTCATCTTTTAAACTGCAAGGAGATAAAAGACAGCTTGAGAACTGCTAAGCACAGAAGACAGGACATTCTATAAATGTTCAAACTCTGCCTAAACAAAGAAGCATAGCATAACTGAGCCCTACTCCCAAATCCAAGGCAGTTAGATCCACAGCTCTGTAGGGCAGAATGAAGCCTGGGTTGTCACTGAAGTCAGCACTAAGCTAAAGGAATCTGGATTGTGCCGTATATGTCCACCTCTTTTCCCTAACAGACAGCTCCCTTACAATTCCATATTGTAACCCACTCACACGTATGCCCTCATAGGCACCAGTCATAATTCTTGAAATTATGGAAACCTAGGATTCTGTTAAAGTCAAGTAGAAACCCATGCACTGCCTATGAAAGTTGGAATCTCCAATTACCTACATCTATGACCTTGTTCCCCACTATCATGAGGTTCCTTTAAATGTTTAACTAATAGACAAAATGGTGAGAAAATGGGAGTCTTCACTCTGTATCAGGAATTTTCAAATTTTGTTCTATTTTTAGCCTGTTTGTTTCAATAACAGGCTAATTTTTTTTCAACTCACAACAATGATGTTCACAGTCAAGTAGAGGTGCGAATGGGGGAGTGGAGCTGGGGAGTCAGAAGGCTCAGCCCACCCCTGCACCTCACGCCTGGGCCCCCTGGGACCCTGGGCTCCCTGTGCCTCGCCCCTGGGCTCTGTGACTTCTGTACTAGATCACTGAAGGGCCCTGGATCCTCATCTCTGCTCCTCAGCCCTCTGCCATGCAACATTTTGCTCAGCCAATGACTTACTTTGAACCATAGAATGAGGCAAATAGAAGAAGTTTGAAAAAGCACATTTGTGTCCCTACATCCTTTCTGAGCCCCTGACATCACTGAGGGGACGGGGCTGGCTGCCTACTGGAAGAAGAGACACAAAACAGAACTGAGCACCCACTACCCACTACCCACATACACACAGTCTAGCGAGTTCTTATCATTTTATGTGTCCTCTGCATCCCTCTGAACATCAGCCAGGTCTTCTCATAGCAGAAACAGGCTCTGTCACCAGTTCTGCACCTCCTCCTAGCTCCTCGGTGTGATTGATCTAAACATCTGTCTGTGTAGATTCTGACTAGTGGCCACTTCCATATACAAAAAGTCAAGCAGATACAATCTATTCAGTTTACCTCACTGACCCTCAGACCACACATGGATAGCACAGATGCCCTATAGTGACCACCTCCTGATTACAACATGACATCCTGGAACCTGTGCAAGCCTGTTTTAAACCCAGCAATCAAAAGTCCTTGTAGGTGCTGGAGAGATGGCTCAGCAGTTAAGAGCACTGGTTGCTCATAGAGGACCCGGGTTCAGTTCTCAGCACTTGCCTGGCAGCTAACAACCATTCATAACACTAGTTCTGGGAGATGGGATGCCCCCTTTTGGCCTCCATGGGTATTATACAATACTGGTACACTTACATACATGCAGGCAAAACATACATACACTTAAAATAAAAATTAATTAATTGCTTAAACTCCTTCTAGCAAACCTGTTTGGATTATACTCTAGAACCAATAAAGGCATGGCTCATAGGTATCTGCCTGCCTCCTTATACCTTCCTGCTCCATAACCTCAGGGCATATAGCTTCGGGGTACACAGTGCCTCCACAAAGACCAGTAAATAATAAAATATGTATTTTAGTCTTGTGTTCCCCTAATCATTTGAATAGCATTCCAATGTAAAGATTCTGAATCAAAATGTTCACCATCCTCCCAGCTGAAGGCAACAGCCAGTCAACCACATGCTTGCTCACACCTGGCCAAGATCAGTCCAGTGTAACCTACCAGCAGCAGAACTTTGCAGACTCTGATCTAGATAAGTGACCACTGTTGAGGCCTCTGAGGCTTGGAATTCTTGTTATGCAGCATTCCTGTGGGAATAGATATGCTACCCTGCCTTTAGCACTGGCAGGAGTTCGATTGTAACAGAAACCAACAACACAGGGCACTTTTAAAATCAGCAAGTGGTTGACAAGAGACGCTTCAGAGGAATTTGGAAGTGGAAGGGAAAACATTCAGGAATGCTGGGGAAAGCAGAGAGATAGCTATTGTAGACCACTGATAAAACGTGAACATACTGTACAGTACAAGAATCACCTGTGGCATCTCTGAAGGGAAACAGAAACTGACTAATAAACCTGGGTTGGAGATTTCGAGGAAAAAGGCTTAAAGATAGAACTTCATAATGAAGATGAAGAGTGGTACCAAGGGGTCCTCTTAGGGGACAGACGGACCTAGTACTGAAGGGAGTGTGTTGCTCCCTAGTAGGCTGACATTCCCCAAACGCCAGTAAATAAGAATTCACTGAGTTTCAACAAGAACCAGAAAAGCAGCTTGTGGCCTATAATTACATAAACAGACAGCTTCAAGACTATGCAGAAAGCTGCAGCCGAGAGTCACCATCAGGCTGGACTGAAGGCCACTGCCAGAGCGCCCCACAATCCAGCTTCATGCAGTTCAGCTGAGAAGCTACACAGAGGCACATTTCATATATCTTCTGCACATGGAGCGCTGGAGGGAGATGGGATAGGAGGTATTTGCTAGGGAGTAGAGTTATAGGCCTTTGCAGCTAACGGACTGGGGAACATTCCCAGGAGGCAGAACCAGGGCCCAGCTGTAAAGCATCTTAATCGCCAGGGTACCAGGTATTGTTAAATAGCCCACAGCTGCCAAGTCCCACACTCATGGACTAAATGCTCCTGTACTGTGGACATTACTGAAGGTTTGTGGATTACTGACGGTTTGTGGCTGTCAACCCAAAATCATTTTTACAATAAAGGATTGAGTCGTAGAGTTTTAAGGAGTAGAATTTAAAATGTTCTTGAGCTCCTCTTTCAATTTCTCTGTAAAATGATCTTCATTTGAGAGTGGTTTTATTAATTCTTTAAGTAATTTTTTATAATGATCTTAAAATTTGCACTAAGGATTTTGCTTCCTTCAAATGAAAAGTTTTTCTTTCTCTTTTCTTTTTCCTCCAAAGTACTGTTTTCTTAAAATGAATGGTGCTCTGGGAATAGATATGGGATTTTCTTTCCCTGCTGGTCATAGCCAGAAAGAGATACTGTTCAGTAAGAGAAACGGGAAGTAATCTTTTAGAAACATATTACATTCCCTCCAAGAAAATTCATCTCAAGGACTGTGAGTAATGGTTCCACAGAAAAGTAACTACGCACAGTAAGACCAAAAAAAAAAAAAAAAAAAAAAGAAATCCAACATGAATATTCAGCTGTGTAAAACTCTCAGGCAGAAGGGAATGTTGAAGAGAGAGCAATGTGTTTGTTTTTGTGTGTAAAATGTATATGCTCTAAGTTTGGGTTGGATAAGCTAAATATTGGGTATGAGACAGGCACTGAAAAGGTTCTTTTTAAAAAATTTATTTTTATGTGTATGAGCGTTTCGCTTGCATGCATATAAATGTACCCATGTATGCAATGCCTGTGAAGTCCAGAAAAGGGTATCAAATCTCCTGGAACTGGAGTTATAGATGGTTGTTAGCCACCATGTGGGTGCTGGGAACTTGGGTCCTCTGTGAGAGTAGCCAGTGCTTTTAACCACTGAGCCATCTCTCCAGCCCCTGGAAAGTTTCTTGAGAGGCATTCTATGATATATCAAATCATATAAAAAGCATATTTATATGCATATTTTAACTTTTCTTCAAAAAAGACTATGAAAATAACACCGTCAATGTCTTTGGAAGATACCCTAAAGGTTGAAAGAAAAGGTTGTTCATTGATTACAGAAAGGATAAAGCAATCATTTGGTAGAACATCAGCCACCTCTAGGTTCCAGGTGGCATCTCATATAACAGTGCTCTTCACTATTATCCACAGTATCAAATTCCTTGGCTTCCTAGATAAAAATGCATTCCCCAAATGTCCAGATACAAGCCAATCAAATGCTTGTGTGCAATGAAGAACACATCAAGTAACATAAAAACCCCAGAAATCACCACTTAAACATGCCAAAGCAGAAGATACAAGTCTACAATGATCAACTGGAACAGGAGTCAGGGCAGCGCACAAGTCACTCCCCATCTCACCACTGGGCAAGAGACCTGTGCTCTGGAAATCTGAAAGCAAAGACACACAACCATCTGGTAGCATTAAGTCTGGACTTGGATAGAATGAAAAGTCAAAACATTATTAGAGGCAATAAGCAAGTTCCTTCTATAATTTAGGCATATTTTAACCATGTCTATATAATAAGTTTCAATATGGGCCAGCATTTCCTAAACACATTTCTTTAACAAGAAGAAAGATTTAAATAAACCTCAGCTGAGGGAAAGATTTCTGAGTAGTTGGTGTTAACGTGGAATCTTCTCCAAGGATTAGACCATAAAATACAGCTGTTAAGACTGTTTCCTAAGATTTCATGTGATGTGCCTGTAAAGAGTTTTTATTCCCCAGAGTAGACCCCCAAAAGCATAAGTCCTTATCTAGATGAGGTTCTCCAGGTTTAAGGGAAGCACAAACAATCCTGTCCCCCAACAGACAAGCTGCATTCCTGGGTTCACAGGGTTGCAGGTTGTGTGATGAGCTCATGAACAGACAGGATCCTACATGCTGTAGGAAGAAATGACTCGGTGTTCTCTGCACTGGTCCTGCTGTGTGCTTGTGCTCCCTCCTTCACAGTAGACTTAACTTCCACAATCTGGTCTTTCCAATAATCTCTCAAATGCCTTATTTGTTTCCCAGTCACAGAGACTGTAAACTTTGATCTTCTTTCATTTCTGCCTATCTTAAGCTTATACTGATTTATTTTCCTTGGGAGAAAAAAAAAACTGTTATTTGCCACTTTTATATTCCTTCTATCCAGTCTTCATTTCCTCAACCTGGACAAAGCCCCACTTGCTTCCTGTAATTCTAAGGGAATAGTCTTAACTCCTAGGGTACAATGCCAGGACTCAGAAATCTAGAGCCCCTAAGAGTTGTCCTTGGTAACTGCTGGTTTTTTTTTTTTTTTGCCAGGCCTGTTTCCATATAGCCTTTTGGAAGATGAGGCATGCAAATCCATGGATAAAAGACTTCTTTGCCAACCATGGACAGTGGTGATGTTTCCAGTAATTACAACCATGGACAGCTTCAAAAATAGAATAGTCTCTCATTTAGTTTAGTCAGTGTCCTGGTTAGTTTTTATTGTCAACTTCACTCAATCTAGAGTCACCTGGGAAGAGGGAACCTGAATTGAGGAATTTCCTCAATCAGATTGTCCTGTGGTCATGTCTGTGGAGAACTGGCTTGATAAAGTTTAATGTGGGAGGGCCCAGCCCACTGTGGGTAGCAGCCTCCTTAGGTAGGTGAGCCTGGGATATATAAGAAAGCTAGCTAGCTGAGCATGAGCCCATGAGTTAGACAGTAAGCAGCATTCCTCTACAATTCCTGCTTCTAATTGCTGCCTTGGGTTCCTGCCCTGACTTCCTCGGTAATGGACTGTTACCTAGAAGTGTAAGCTGAAATAAAACCTTTCCTCTCCTAAATTGCTTTTGGTCCTGATGTTTATCACAGTAATAGAAAGCAAACTAGGATAGTATATTAGATGAAATCCCAACTTGTACTATTTCTCTACCACCTGAAGAAAAAAATTCATTTTCTTTCTCAAGATGGTGTTCACATATAGGTTGTTTTTTAAGACAGGGTCTCCTAGTAGCCCCAGCTGGCCTGAAACTTGCTATGTAGACCAAGCTGGACTCAATCTCACCTGTCTCTACCTCCCAAGTGCTGGGATTTAAGGTGTGCTCCACTACGCCTAGCATCATACGGTTATTCTTAATAATCAGAAACAAACTCTGGGATCTGATCTGCTTCCTGTCAGCCCATGCTCAAAAATATATTTCAGCTTTTGGTTTCCCTAAATAGCTTCTAAAATAGGAAGAAAAGAAAATTTCTATTACCTTTGCCAGAGTTCTTGGTTTTGATGTATTTGTATTCAAATCTTGAACTTCATTGGGGACTGGCACTCCAAAAGACCAACCACCAAGCCTATTAAGAGTAAACATGGTGTTAGTGCTCTAAGTAGGGCACAGGGAGTTCCACTCAGAGGGTGATTTAGTACCAACCAGACCAGTTACAGTGGTCAGGATAGCAGTGAGCTGAGCATATATCACCTGTAGCATGACTTTACAGACACTTGCTGATCACAGTGACTGGAACTCAATCTGGAATCCAAAGAGAGTCCTGCTTACAGAGAGGGAATGGACAAGGTTGGTCATGTTAGAAATTGTATTTATCAGAACTTACCGTCTTGCTAGGAAACACATTCTATAGAAGGACATGGTTGTGACAGTCAGCATTCTATTTTAAATCATGATCACTCCTCCTTCAAATTCACTATTCAGGACTGCTTGGTCCAGTGTGATCTTGAAACCCCCTGTTTGCCTGCCTTAGTCTCATTTCCTTCACCACTCATGACTTACTTTGTTCAAGAAGGGACCACCAAACCATAGTTGGGTGAGATGTTCCCTGTGTTTTGAATTCCCCCAATATCCCAAATTCTCATACATTGTATTAATTATCACACTGAGCTTTTTAATCATCAACTTTCTGGTTTGTCTTTCAGGCAGCTAATGAGATTTTTCCTGGGTGAGAATTATATATCTTTATCTCCACAGGCTATATGGTTTCTTACACTTACTGAGCTTCATAATACAGTTGACATTTTAAATAAAGGCACTCATTAGTCTTTGATTCCAGCTTTCTGGATGAAAAGAGATTGAATAATGGTCTTGTACCATAGCATCCCTACTCACTGGAAAAATCAAGGAATAGGGATACATTCCCAGCTGGCTCAACTGAATTCACTCATCCATTCAGCAAGCACAGATTAGGTATCTCTAATATGCAAAGTACTATTCTGAGTTTGAGGTACACAATTTTTACATTTTAGGAAAGGAAGGTAAAGATCATAGGATATATTTAAGGACACTAGAAAGGAGGGCCACAGGAGAGAGGCAGACTAACTAGAGGACAGAGAAGGTCTGGGCTGAGGGAGATGATGACTTGTTGGCCTGGAAAAGGAGAAGCCGGTGCAAGGTGGTGAGGTATCCTGGCAATGGGGAGAGCCTTCCTGCATATGTGAAGCAATGCGGCGTGCTTAGAGAGCTTAAGAAATTTGACAGTGTGGTAAATGCCACCAACACCAAAAACAATCTGCAGTCACTTCCTTAGGCTCAAGGAAATTCAAAACAAATGTTTCCCAAAAGCCATAAGGAATTTAAGGCACCAGTCATACCCATTCTCTTAAAGGGGATGTTAACAAGAGACTGCCATTTCATTATGCTGTTAGCTCACCTGCTCTATTCCCTAAAGCAAGGAAGCTGTCACTGCTGCTGCTGGCTCCCCGGCCTCCATCAATGATGGAATTTCAATTTAAAGGCTCTTTCCCAATGCTTCAAAGACTGAAAACCACAGTGAGCATTCTGATTAAGACCTGCAGCTTGGCTTTGGAATTTCTATGAGCACTGAGGAATGAATTAGACTTTTGCATTTTTATACACATTAATATTTGAAACAATGGGTTTTTCCAAGGTATAGTGAACTCCCAAAGTCTGTGAGCTCTACACTTCTGTGAGTTCAGCCAACTATGGGCGAAAAGTATTCCAAAAAATAAAATGTGTTTGTATTCACTGTGTATCAACTTTTCTCAACATTATTCCTTAACAATGCAGGTATTTACATAGCATTTGTACTGTGTCAGGAAATATGAATCATCTGGAGATGATTAACGTATTTGGGAAGATGAGTGTGCTCTATGGCAGCACCATACCATCTATATAAGGGACTCTGGTACCTGTGGATTGGGGACCCTCTGGGTGCTGGAACAAATGCCTATGGAAGTCGAGAAATGACTGTAACTCACAAACAGTAGAAAAGACCCAGCAACAGCTGTGTACACACCTTGGTTTTGCAGACGGCACCAACAAGTATTCCTCCACGTCATAGCCTGAGAGATTGAGCAGTGTATGTCCCAGGCAGTTGGTCAGGTGGGGAGCTCCAGCACTTTTATTTGGACACTTCTGTAATTGTTTTCAAAGAGATAAGATAGGAACTTTTTTACAACCCACAACCAGCTTACTGACACTGAGTTAAACTAAAAGTGACTTTTCCTAGTTTCCAATTTTTAACAAATTATCTCCAGCCTTTTATAAATTCTGATCTCTAAAGAGTCTCCTATAGTTGAGAGTTGTGCCAGAATTCCACCGTGACCTGCGCCGTCAATTATATCTGGGAACTTCAAATCCTTTTTTGTATGTAAGTTTGGGCAGATTTGTAAGAAATAAAAAGGGAAAATGTTCTCACTAGGGTTCTCTTGTGTTTGAAGAAGCTGAAAGGGACAGAGGCGAAGGTGGTGGGAGGAAGATAGGCAGGAGAATTCAAAGACTGTGTTTCTTTTATACATGTCTGAAGCAAAACTCAAACAGCCTCCCTGGTTGGCTCACTAGAGTGACTGCTCCCGGTCTGACTCTTAAAATAACTACCAAGTGAGGAAGGAGGTGATGGTCACCTTAATGCCAGAGGCCACTCCTGCCACAGTCAGAGCTATGACTAAATGTGCTTCGTGGTCACTTCATCAGAGCAAGTTTGGAGAAGATGATACGTGAAAACAGGAAACTGTCTCTGAAATTTTCATTCCAACTTTGAAAGCTTCTTTTCTCTTCAAAACCAGAGCAGCCTTACTTACTTCATATATGCATGCAAAAACGATGACAATTTAGGAGGTTCGTATAATGTTAAAGTATGACTTTTAGAAAGGCTTGGAGAAATATGCTAAAAATATTAATTACTGGAAGTTATAGCCCAACCAAATTCTCATGCTAATGTGGAAGTTTAAGCCCTTCAACTCAAAGGAACAGAGTAAAATAGTGACTGTCAGAGGCTGGGGTGGTCATGGGGAACATTGGAGAGATACCGGTCACAGCCAAAATCCTTCAGATAAACAGGAGGAGTAAGTTTATAGGTCCAGGGCACAAATGTTCACCATAGCTGGAAACCATGTACTGTGTGCTTAAAAGCTACTAAACAGATTTTAGTCCTTCTCAACACAGAAACTTAAAGAAATCCACCATAGAATGACTCAACAAAGCTGTTTAATGTGTGCATCCGTTCAGGACTAGCTCATCTATTGCAATGTGTGTGTGTAAGAAATTATCATGCTGTCTACCGCAAATGCATAGGATGTATTCTTGGCAATTGAAATACATGGGTAAATAATTCAGTCAAATGCAACTATCTTATTCACAGATTCACATAACAACTTTGAAAGTTTTCTTGCCTCTGGTGTTTCTCTCCAATCCATCTTATAACTGAGTTAACACATATCTTTCTAAAATATAATCTGTATTTTGATGAGTCTCTTGCTTAAAAAAATCAAATTTTTATCAAGAATTCAAGTCTACTAGAAAATGCACTTAATCTTTTTCTCTTATGTGTGTTGTTCTCGCCAAATATACTTCCTGTGGTAAGCTTAATAATGACTCTTTGTCTCTGGAGCCTGTAAATGCCACCAGATGTGCCAGTGGGTGTGAAGATGTCATTAAATTATGAATCTCTGCTAGGAAGATTATCCTGGAAGGTCAGGGTGAGCCCACTGCCAGTCATCACTTGTGTCTCTACAAGATGGAGGTAGAGGGAGATTAGACAACAGAGGAAGAAGACAGGGCAGTGTGACAGCAGATCAGACAGAGAAGAGGAGGACAGGGCACCCTAATGGCAGTAACTGGAGTAGCAAAACCATAAACCAACAAATTCCTGAAGCCAACAGATGTCAGCCAAAGCCAGTAAAGATTCTCCTCTACAGCCTCCAGGGAAGCACTGTGGCTTCAAACCACATCACTGGCTTCAAATTCTGGCCCCCAGCACTTAATTATGAGAATAAACTTATTTATGTCAGTTGCCCAGTGCAAAGCAACTTCTAACACCAGCTGTGGGAACAGAGCACCCCTCTACTAATTCTGCATAAGGTCACACCTTGGGCTTTGACAGTAATACGTTCCTGCTGTTCAGGAGAGCTCAGACTCCAAACTCCCTGTTTTCTCTTCAAGACTTGTACAACTCCCATTTCCTTTGGGACTTTCCTAGTGATGTCCCTTCCAGATAACAAATGGAACTAACCTTAGGTTTCTGTAAGTAGCCAATATATAGTTGAAAAACACATGGGGAAGTAGATGTGGCCTTGCAAACACACAATTTCTGGATGGCAAGATTTAGGGGACTGAAGTATTTTGCCTTTTGTCAAACACAGTCAACATGACCACCAAAAATAAGAGAAGTGACCTTGATCTGTACCCGCCTCCCACGTGCCTTCCCATGTCTCCTTAAGGAACAATTCCTTGAAATCTTTCCGATTCACGCTTCAAGTTCTCCCCTGAGGCCCTCTGGTCTCTAAACTCTGGGCTGGGATTTCTTAAAGTGTTCCCCGGAGAAGAGATGGCACAAAAGGAAGAGCATCAGGTGCAGCAAGAATAGGAGGGAAGGAGAGGGAGCAGAGGCTTCTTCCGTCAAACGGTTTGCAGAGGCGCTGCACCCTCTTCACATGTGCTGTCAATTCAAGGAATGTCCTATGTAACAGTCTCAGAAAAACTATCTCGATGCTGGTTTTTTAGCTGCTACTTCTGAAGCACATTTGCCTACAGAACTTGTTCCTGTGAAATCATTCTTCTCTTGCATGCATATTACTGGATAGAGTTCATGTGAGTTGTACTGAATTGAGGACCATAGTAGTATTCTGATACTTATTCATTATCTCTGCCTTCTTGATACCAATCTAACCCTAACAGACTTGAGGCTTGTGGAAAGGAAAGCTGCTGCTCTAGTAGTACAACTAAATCCAGCCTCAAGAGTAAGAACTTGAGGGCTAGAGAGACGGCTCAGTGGTTAAGAGCTCTGGCTACTCTTGTAGAGAACCTGGGTTCGATTCCCAGCCCCCACATGGCAGCTAAACTGTCTGTAACTCCATTTCCAGGAGGATCCAGTGCCCTCTTCTGACCGCAGGCATTGCACAATGTGGGTGCACTTGCATACATACAGGCAATATACTCATACACATAAAATAAAAATAATAGACAAAATATTTTTTAAAGAGAATAAGAGTGCCGGGCGTGCTGGCACATGCCTTTAATCCCAGCACTTGGGAGGCAGAGGCAGACAGATCTCTGTGAGTTCGAGGCCAACCTGCTCTACATAATGAGTTCCAGGCCAGCTGGGGCTACGGGAAGACCCTGTCCCCAAAAGACCTAAATAAATAAATAAATAAATAAATAAATAAATAAATAGAGCTTGGAGCACAGTGTTAGAGGTTTCGTGATGAAATGCAAGAACTTAGACAAAGAAAAAGATTGTTGGTCAGTGCAAAGAAGCAAGAAATGTGAGTTCACTGACCACAAAGGAAACATGGAGACGTCCATGAACCCGCAATGCCACCAACCCATACAGTCCCTGCTGGGGCACTTCACTATTGCTCTCTCTTATGTGCTTACCTTTGGTCTAGAAGAAGAAAGCAGGCTGAATCCCCCCAAAGCCCACTTTCTAAAGTTACTAAACTATCAAAGGGAATGTACTCCATGGGTCACTGGTACAAAGGCCAACAAGCATGCTCACCATGCTCACCATTCCCTGATGGATGCTCAGTGACTCTTTCTTTGAGTCCAGGGATGACAGCTGTGCATCACCATGCCTAGTCCATGCAGTGCTAGAACCAAACCCAGTACTTCGTGAGCGCTACACAAATACTCCAGCAACTGAGTGACACCCCCAGCCTTTTGAAACATAAATTGGCATTGCCATGTTAGAAGGCCAGTTGACAATAGCAGCTCTATGTCTTTCATTGATTACCTTTTGAGATTTACTCTGCAATAGATTGCATTCAATTTTCCATATAAATTTCAATTTATTCTACTTCACAGACTAGGTAGATACGGCTTTCATCTTGAGAGCAGAATATCTTCTTTCATATATTTTATTTACATCAATCATATTAGAAACACTGAGCTGGAGAGATAGTTCAGCAGTTAAAAGCACTGGCTGCTCTTGTAGAGGAACTGGGTCCAGTTCCCAGCACCCACAGGTGGCTAATAACCATCCGTAACTCCAGTTCCAAGGGATCTGATGCCCTCTTCTGGCTTCCATGGGAACTGCATGCATGGGTACATTTCCATTCATGCAGGAAAAACACATAAAATCAATCAAAAAACTTTTACAGAAACACTAATCAGTATCTTTGTTTTTAATATCTAGTTCTTGGAAAACAAAGGAAAATATGACAAAAGCCTTGAGGTCACTCTGCCATGAGATTTGGGAAGATTTTCCCCTAAGGGAGAGTCTAGCTTCTTCATCTCTGAAGAATTGCTCAGGGCAGGCCAGTGGGGATGATAGTGATGAGGAGGGCTGAGCAAGGAATGAACAGGCAACAGAGTCTGAGAAGAGTTGCATCTTGCTCACTTTAAGGGTTGAAAGTTTTCCCACCAACAGCCAAGTAAGTACATTCAGAAGTCAATAAATTTAAAAACAACAAAGTGGAGATTTCACAGGTGGAAGAATCTTGCTTTTTCTCTTGAGGCATATAGCTAAAATGGTGAAGAATACTGTAAAAACATACCAGGCAGCCACAGGAGCCCTGGAATTCAGGAACAGAATAAGGACCCCTGTGCCAGCTTGAAGAATTCTTCCTAAAAAAGAAAGCAGAGAACTGGAATGACCTTTTGGGTAAAATCAACAACTATATTTCCATAAAAGCAAGCTCTTTTACAGCAGAACACAGTTCACAAGTTAATCGGCTCCTTGCCCCAAGGCAGCTCTCTGGAGTTTGCTTTCCTCAAATGAGCAGCTAATTTGATGGCAAAGTTTGGTGACAGTGCCAAGATTCATCACATGACGTGATGATCACTTGGCTGCTAAACGAGCTAGCCACACTCCATGACTGTCACAGGGCCTGAACTGATATCAAACCCCAAGGTTTCCAGATGCATAACCAGATACTAAGAAGCAACTAGTAATTGCTTATTAATTATTAATTGCATAAGAGCAACCTGTTAATTCATTTTTGTGTCATGACATATTAACGTAATCACTTTAAGAAAAGTATATGTTAAATTTCTATGTTGAAGACAGATTTTAAGAGCTATAGAAACAGAGTCGGCATGGTGGTGTATGCCTTTAATCAGAGATAGAGGCAGGAGGAGCTCTGTAAGATTGAGGCTAACCCAGTTACATAGTTCCAGGTCAGCTGGGGCTATAGGGAGCCCTGTCTCAAAAAAAAAAAAAAGAGTTATGGAAGTTATGGAAACACTAAGTAGCAATGATTAGAAAACTTATTTTTATATTTTTCCTACATTTATTTATTTATTTGCTTGATTATTTATTTACTTATATGCTGTGGGAGGGATGGGGGGACGAGCCATGACACACTGACATATGCGTACAGGTTAGAAGACAACTTTTGGGAGTCAGTTCTCTCCTTCCAACATATGAGTTTCAGGGATTAAACTCAGGTCTTCAGTCTTAGTAACAAGCTAAAGTAAAAACAATTATTTTGAATTATTTAAATACTGGGGAGGGGGATAGTATATACTAAATCACAGGTACCAATATCTTGACCAGAATCCTTTCTCACCTCATTCCTCAGAATAGCAAGGCAGAGTGTCATCTCTGAAAAGTCAAGCCATCAGCTGGAGAGCACACAGCAGCAGGACTGACCTGCCCAGGGAGCTCCAAGTCCAAGCTCTCTGCACAGAAGTGTTGTTCCAATGCAAGACAGGACGTGTAGCAACAGCAGGTTGGAAGAGCCAGTCCCACAGAAGGAGACATGTCATTTCTCTTAACGCAGCTCAGCTAGCAAATACTATTTACATACAACTCTCTAAATACTAAAAATGATCACAGACTTTCTCACTATTAGTGTCTTCATTGATTACCTTACAGGGATTGCACCTAGAGATTTCTAAGTTAGCATTGAAACAGTCCATAATTTGTTACACATTTAATCAGTGTGCTGTATTTCATAATTACTTTTATTTAAAAATGATTCTGTATAGCTTAAGCCCAGCAGGTCCTTTTTGCCAAAAGTGCCTTGGATGACAGGTATAGAGGACTGTGGTTTGGATGTGTCCTCTCCTCCAAAGCTCACATGTGGAAAGCCGGGTTCCCTGTGTGGTGGTATTGGGAGAGGTGGAGAATTAAAAAAAAAAAAAAACTTTAAAAAACTACATTACCACGAGATTTGCATACAAATCCATGGCAGTATTTAATGGATTTTAGGTTTTTGAACACACAGGCCCTAACGATTTTTGTGTTTAAACATTTACTACCAAGCTCTATGAGCATTCATGAGACAGGCAGATAGGCAGATAGGCCTGTTAGGAATCAGACGCTTCTGTGTCCATTTCCTGCATGTTCGGACTCTAAATATGCTCTGACTCAGCAGAGTAGGCTCCTAATGTGATTTACTACCAAGCTCTATGAGCATTCATGAGACAGGCAGATAGGCAGATGGGGCTGCCTGTTAGGAATCAGGCGCTTCTGTGTCCATTTCCCGCATGTTCGGACTCTAAATATGCTCTGACTCAGCAGAGTAGGCTCCTAATGTGCTCTGTAGGACACAGGGTGTAGCTGTTCCAGAGTCAGGCCTTGAACATGGTCTCTATTATGTAGGGCTGACTGGAGTTTTTAATAGTATAACATGCATTTTAAATCTCAAAGAGAGGGGCAGATGCTCTGAGGACCTCCTGTTTGGAAAGCAGTGTTCTGAGGTATGCGCTTGCCTAAAGAGAGTGAACAAGCTCCCTGGAGGTCACCTTGCTCTTTCTGTAGAGGTGAAGGTACATTTGATGCCAACAGAGACAAAGAGAAATTGAGTCAGCTGCGTATGTTGCACAGCTAGTAAGAGTAAGATTTGCCTGAGGCAGTCTCGTGTCCAAGGCGTGTTCGTCACCTATACTTGGATGTTTCAGATTCTGTGCTCTCTACCCTTGACCTTCACAAATGATCCCGGTTGGTGGTGATTCCAGGCTCTTGGACTTTCACCTCTCGAGCGCTCACCAACAAAGCAGCTGGCCTGCTCACCCTGGGTACCAGATCTGGGCAAGGAACAGATGTGGAGAATGTGGAGGGCTACTGACATCTATGTAAAGCACCTTAGGTGGATGTCCAGACAGAATTTGAACCCCTCTGCCAGCCTCAAAACATCATTTTCACCTAGTTGCATTCTTTTGAGAGACTATATAAAATAATTACCCAATTTTTCTGCTAATTAACCTTTCCTTGATCCAACATTGGCCAAGGGTGGATCACATGTGTTCAGGTTTCAGTTCCTTGGAGATAGTAGTTTACATCCTGTGTGTTTTAATACAGAGGAAGAAACAAAAACACCACTGATAGAGGCTACATTAAATAAGTTACTTCTGTGTTTCCAGAGAGAACTAAAGCAAAGCAGCATAATTAATTTTCTATCAGTTCTTCCATACTGTGACTATTAATAGTTATTCAGTCTCAAATCAATTACCAAGATGACTAATGGACAAAATATTTCCTCACAAATGAGGAAACCTATTTCTTATACTATATTTTTGCCTGGATATTTACATGTGTTATTTAAAAGACACACATGTAGCACTGAAGATAGATGTTATTACAGTTTTTCTCACTTGCTTCAATGACTCTGTCTGGAATTATGAATCCCTTAAGACTAGGCCATATTCTTTTCACTAGTCTTGGTCCCTATAGCAACACTTTATAGTAAATCCTCAGTGAATAAAAATTAAGGAAAAATAAGAGGAAGGCAAGCATTTATGAAGCAAGGTGTGTTTTTTCAAGGCTTCACAGACAAGCCATCCCATCAGCGTTATTATCCTCAAGTCCAGAAACGTTATCTTTAAAGCAGTTTGCCACATACTGATGTATTGGCCTTTGGCAATCTTTAATTTCTACAGGACACATCATAACTGCTTGTATTTATGATATACAGTAGAATTTTTTGTTTGTGCTGCATGTGCTATGCACACATGTGAGCATGCAAGTATGTGCCTCTGTAAACACACACACAGAAAACAGAGGAAAACACGGGGTGACTGTCTACCTAAGTCCCTGAGATAGGGCCTCTCACTGAACAAGTAGCTCACTGTTCCCGCTAGATTGGCTGAAAGTGGGCTCTGGGGATCTGCCATCTCCAGGGCAGATCCCAACCTTGGCATCATAGACACACACAGCCATGCTCAGATTCTTTTCTTACAAGGATGCTGAGGATTTGAGCTCAGGTCCTCATGCTTGCATAGTGAGTTCTCTCACCCACTGAGTCATCTCCCCAGTCCTCCCCACATGTGATAGTTAACACATAGGTACAGTGTGTAATGAGCTGACAAGAAGACTTAACATAGCCATCATCAGAAACATCATTTCTTTGCATTGGGAACAATCGAAATACTCTGCTAGGCATTTTAAAATACTCGATTAGTTGTCAGTCATATTATTAGAACTTAGACCTACTATCCAAGTGCATGCTGTTGATCTTCATCAATCCTCCCCCGTTCTCCTTTCCCAGTCTCTGATAATTACCATTCTAGTGCTTACTTCTGTAACATGGAATCAACGCAGGTGTTGATAAATAGGCGAATGGATGTCGGAAACTTTGAGCCCTACCCCTCACTGCTGAGCTCTTTCCTATGGATAGATTTAGGAAACGGGAGTCATTGCCTTCAGTTATGCAGCCACTTGGGCCCCACCATGCTCCGATGGACAGTCCCAACCCAATGGTCATAGAGACAGCAATGGTTAAACTGAGTCACAAAACAAACACAAAAGTCATGCATCTGGATAAAGGACAGGCAGGGAGGAGAACTGACAGGGGTGGGAAGGAGAGAGGAAACTGCTGGAGAGTAACCAGAATGCATCGCACACACACATGGGATTGTCAAAGACCTCACAATAAAAATGAAGAATTTAGACACGCAAAACATAAGTTCTATATTGTTTGGGTTTTTGTGGGGGTTTGTTTTTTTGAGACAGGGTCTCCCTGTAGCCCCAGCTGGCCTGGAATTCACTATGTAGACCAAAATGGACTCAGTCTCACAGAGATCCACCTGCCTCTGTCTCCCAAGCACTGGGATTAAAGGGGTGAGCTACCACGCTCAGCATAAATTACATTTCCAATCTCATAGGCTTGAAAGAAAATATGGAGGAAGAAAGCATGTAGGTAAGTGCACCTGTGTCGTGCAGTGCCCGCAGAGGTCAGAAGAGGCTGTCAGATCCCCTGGGACTGGAGTTACAGACAGTTGTTAGCTGCCATGTGGGTGCTGGGATTCAAACCCGGGTCTTCTGCCAGAACAACCAATGTTCTTAACCACTGAGCAATGTATCCAGCCCCAAAAGCAATATTTTTGACTGTAAATAATTACTCAAGTATCACAGCTTAATTGCAACATAGTCATTTATAAATATTGATTACAAATTTTAAATACAGATTTATGTTTTAACTTTTTTTAAAAGATGACAGATGTAAACTATGACAAAGCTCCAAAACTGGTTAAAATGCAGAGAATAAATGACTGTGTGGTGCCCAGCCCCATTGCTACATCTACAATGCAAATTCTACACCTAAGGCTCAGGGAACATTGCAAAATAAGGGGTAGAGAGACTCTAAGAGCCAGAGGACCAGGATGACTGCTGCTAGATGGTATTGTCTAGACACTACAGGGAGGTGGTAGCCATGAAATCTCAACAATACAGCTGTCTAAACAGTACTAATAACACCAGTTGACATGCCAATGTAGATGGGCGAAATCTCACAGAGTCCCACCTAAACAAGAAAAGCTGCAGATAATCAATGGCTGCTGAGAAAGGGAGTCATAAAGAATATTATTCAGTCATAAAGAAGAAACATGTCAGTTGTAGCAACATGAGTGGAACTGATTGTGAACAAGTGAAAAATAAGACAGATATAGAAAGACAACTACCACTGATACATGTATATGTCTGTGATAAGCTTCTTAACTGTAAAAATCCTAAACGAGGGACGGTGGTGCACCCCTTTAATCCCAGCACTCGGGAGGCAGAGGCAGTCAGATCACTGTGAGTTTGAGGCCAGCCTGGTCTACATAGCAAGTTCCAGGACAGGTGGGGTTACAGGGAGACCCTGTCTCAAAAATAAATAAATAGATAGATGATAGATAGATGATAGATAGATAGATAGATAGATAGATAGATAGATAGATAGATAGATAATAGACTAGAGATAGATATAAAATAAAACAAAAATAACATCTTAATATGCACAAGTTTTCTCTAATAGTAAATAACATTTAATTAACAGTTTTCATTTAATTGCTACTTCATTCTTTTTAGCTTTGAGCTGCAATGCCATAGAGCATGTGTCTATGAATGGTAAAAAGGGGTATTTAGGTAGTTCATTTCCAGTCATTCCACATGATGATGCCCATTAGACTTGCACAGTAATGATCTCCTCATTGGGGTGATATCCGCTCTATGAAGCATAAGTTGCATCACAGACTAACCCAGTCCTGAAGGGAAGTGGTACGCCCATCTCCAGGGCTACTGTTGGAGTCTCGGCCCAGCACAAGGCATCAGGTACTTACTGATCTACATCAGCACAGAGAGGATCCCAATCTCCAAACTTCTTTAAGAGCACACGGGTGAGGTCCATGCCATGGCCCCCAGTGCTGCTGCTGGTGAGACAGAGGACATACAGGGCTGTTAGGAGCTTTGAAGGAGAGCAGAGGACCTGCTTCCAACCTCACCCTGCACTGCAGTCAGGCTGTTGCAGGCAAATGATACCCAGTGCCTCAGATAAAGTTAATTTCCTGTTGCTTTTATGGCAAAGTCAATGAGCAAGGATGAAATTGAGAAATGCCTACAAACCACAGCTTTTACCACCAGATATCCATTGTTATGTGCTAGCATTCAAAGTATATTCGCTTCTCTAACCTTTTTACTTAATTTTATAACCATTTTTCACGTTTTCATCTATTTTAAAAACAAACTTTAATAACTACCTAACATAATATTATGTTATGTTAATATATTAAAATAAGCAAAAGTATTCTCTTCATGTTGGAGCTCTGGCTTGGTCTAAGCATTTGTCGTATTAAAGAACCTTATTAAAAAGCAACAGCTATTTACATCTTTTGGTTTCTGTATCTTGTTGAATCACATTTTGTTAGCAAAAGTCATTACTACAGAATCTGACCTGTGCTTTAGCACACACAATAATGGCGCTTATTTTTGCTGGTCATAAGCCTAAATCTACTTATAGTTCAAGAACTACTACTGAAGATAAAGATGAACAATACTGAATTTCTTTACTAAGCAGAACATCAGCAGCAAGACATTCACGAACTCTTGTGGTAAGATGCAGAAACAAACACTAGGAAAAACATCAGTTTTATGTATTACCTGTAAGAAATGTTTGGAGTTGAGAAAATAGAGAAGAAAGGACACTTCAAACTTCTTAAAATTGGAATAATTGGGAGTGGAATTTATTTCAATTAATTACAACTTAAAATTATAATGTTTACAAAAGAATATAGCGGGCTTTTAAGATGGCAGATGACACTCAGGAATGGTCACATAGAAACTTGAGGGAATAAACTAGAAAAAAATTACATAACAATTATACAAAAAACTCCAGTCTCAATATCAAAGAAAAATAACAATATTACAGAGCAGAACAGAATGAAGCCAGCATTGGAACACAACAGATGATGATGACCAAGCTGTGGCTTAAGACACACGCCTCTGACAAATTGCACCATACGTTCAATAAGAGACATTTTAGATGACAGAAAGAGAAAGAGGATGGAGAAACACACACTGCAGGGGCACCAGCTGAGGGAAAGGAGGTACAGGGAAGCCATTCTTAACCCTCACTCAGGGCAGTGGGAAGATGTCACTTTTCAAATTTAATTTTTATTTTCACATTTTTTTTTCTTATTTTGTGGTTGGGGAGGCACACACATACCACGGCATGTGTGTGAAGGTCAGAGGACAGCTTGTAGGAGTCAGTTCTCTCCTTCCACAAAGTGGATTCTGAAGCTCCATCTCAGGATGTCAGGCCTAACCACTAGCACCTTCACCCACTGAGTCATCTTGCTGGACTGTGAGATGCCATTTTTTAAAAAAGATGCCTGTTCTAACTGAGTCAATGGCTTGGCCACCCTAGCCCCTCCCTATGCAGCACACTATGATAATCCAGAGCAAATATCACAGGACTATGTACCAAAACCTGGCCAGCAGACCATTCTAAACAAGAGGAAAGAAATTTTGAGAAAAGAAGAAATCGGGTTAAAGTCAGGATGTGCTGTGGAACACAGACACAGGTTCTAAGCAGGTACCAGACAGTGGAAAGGACCATCCAGGGCTGTAACCAGCATTTTCAATCCAACCTGTGAAAGATTTACTACTCACAGTACCAGTATCAATGACCATGCAAGGGATGACCATCCCAACCATGCAAGGGTCAAAGGTGTGACCAGGACCATCTCACCTCCCCAGAGGTGTGAACAGCATCTGCACCTCAACCTGGGAAAGACTACACAGGTAGGCATACATGAACCATAGACAGAACCCTTAGAGCTAATACTGACCCCAGCACCCATGCAAGCAAGCCCACTCTGACTCTGTACCTGACCCAGATCTCCTCTTTTCAACTTCCTTCCTTCCTGCTCAGTGTCAATGTAGCAGGTCCATTGTGTCCAGCTCTATTCTTGTTTTCTCTTTTATTCTTTTTTCTTTTGCTTTTTTCCTTTCTATTATTTCTTTTCTTTTCATTTCCCTAATGATAGGTTTTCTTGGACCAGATTGGCCTGGTTTTGTGAGGAGGGTGAGGCATCTCTCTGCCTTAGACGCTCAAGAACTGGGGTTGTTTGAGGTTGTCTGACTGCATTTCTTTACATCTTTTCCTTCTCCTTTTACCTTCATCTTGAGGTACATCATCTCCTTAGTGTCCTCACTGTTCCCTCTGTGTACTTTCCTCCCCTGTATTTTTTCTATCACCCAATACTAACCACTAGTCTTACCCTACTTTTCTCCTGACTGCTCAGACGTTCAGTAACTACTTAATGAACACAGTACTGTAAGTGTCCTTTTATTTCCTAGAATGATCCAGTTGAAGGGGAAATTGCTTCTTAATTGGCTGTTACTGTATTTTCATAATGGGCCAAACCTGTGACAGTTATGCCTCTTTGAGGCAGTAATCCACTCTCTGGGGAGTACTGGAGATGAAGTGTGGTGATACCAGCATGTAGGCTGGGGGCGCAACTCTTGAACTAGACCACTCCCATGTAGAGGAGAGGAACAACATGTGAACCCTGCTGCAACTTAGTCCCTCATGAATATTACAGACGTGCCCACTGAAGGAATAAGGGTCATGTTTGAGAATTCTAGCAACCTTTTCCTGGATATGCACAGCCCAATGCAAGGGTATGGGAAAAATGAAACATCAAAAGCAATGTGACTCTTCCAAAAATTATTGGTCACAAAGTAATGGAGCACAATAAGAGTGAATTGTATGAAATCCAGACAAAGAATTCAAAAGAATTATCATAAGTATGTTCAAAACAACCTAAGAGGACACAAAGAAAGAACACAGATGAATGAAAGAAGGCAAATACAGTATATGAAAATAAGCTTCAATAAAGAGTCAAATACAGAAAAAAATTAAACTGAAATCTCGGACATGAAGGTATGGTAAGTCCAATGAAAAGGACTACGGAAAGCCCCATGGACAGAACGGGTAAAGAACGGGAGAGAACGTCTGTGCCTGAAGACAAGGTGGGAGGACGGCAACATTCAGAAGATGACAAAGGCTAATTAATAAGAAGGTGCAGATGGAACATGAGATTTGGGGAACACAATGAAAAGACAAGTGCATGAGACACGGGCATAGAACGAGAATGATTTCATGCTAAGGGTATAGAAGATATTTTCAATAAAATCATAGCAGAAAATTTCCCAAGGAAGGAGATGACCACCCAGGTACAACAGGCATTTACAACAGAGAACAAGACCAGAAAGAAGCATCCTATGTCATATTATAATTAAAATAAAATACATACAGGAAAAAAGAAAGCATATTGAAATCTGCAAGGGAAAAACATCACATTACGTAAAAGGCAGACCCATCAGAATAACATCGGATAATTTAAAAGTCAGAAGGGCTTACTAGAATGATACATTTCAATCTCTGGAAGACAAGACCTACAAAACTGCATTGCTGTTTTCAGCAAAATTGAAGAAAAAGTAAAAATTTCTTTCCAGGATAAATGAGAAGAATTCATGACCACTGAGCCAGCACTAAAAATGATACCTGAGGCTGGGTGTGGTGGCACATGCCTTTAATCCCAGGACTTGGGAGGCAGAGGCAGGCAGATCTCTGTGAGTTCAAGGCCAGCTTGGTCTACAAAGGGAGCACCAGGTCAGCTGTTTAAAAAAGAAAAAAAAAAAAAAAAAGATACCTGAGGGTATCTTTCACACTGAAGAGAAGGTGTAATATCCAGGAGGTCACAGAAGAATAAACCATGCCCCAGAAGTAGCTAATCAAATGAGGATCAGTAAAATAAAGTTCTACAAAATCAACGAAATGGAAGTAATTAATATACATGTGTTGCAATAATTCTGAATACGAATGGTCTCAATTCCCCAAGCAGAATATTAGATTTTATTAAAACTGGGGATCCATCTATTTGCGCCTCCAAGAAATGTACCTCACCATGAAAGACAAATACAAACTCAAAGAGAAAAATTGGGAAGAGCAATTCTAAGCAAATGAAAATGTAAAAGTAAGTAGGGTCACTGTTCACATATGTGACAGGATGGACTTCTAAGCAAAACTAGTAAGAAGTGATAAAGTCACTTCATAGTGATTAGTGGAGCAATTAATCAAGAGGATAGTATAGTTCTAAATTTATGTTCAACATAAATTGGCACACATGGTTTCATGAAACAAACACCATGGGCTATAAAGCATAGATTAAACACAGTAACAGTGAATGACTTCACTGCTTCACTCTCACCAATAGACAGGTCATCTCAGCAGAAAATAAACAGAAACAAGAATCAAATGGCATCATTGATCAAATGGACTTAGCAGGCATCTACAGCACATCTTTTCCAAATGCTGCTGAATGAACTCTCTTCTCAGTAGCCCACAGAGCACTGATAGTTCATATAATAGTAGAACATGAAGAAGCCTTAACAAAAATAAAAAGCTGGAATGACCTCTTGTCTGTCTGATCACAGTGGAATGTAACTTAAAATCGATGGCAAGAGAAACTAGAGAACACATGCAAACTCACAGTTTGAACGCTATGCTACGAATCATGAGGGGCCCACTACAGAAATCAAGAAGGAATTCTTTAAATTATAAAAAATTGAATGAAAATGAAAACAATAACAAATGTTGGCCAGGTTGTGAACAAAAGAAAGCCCTTATACACTTTGGATAGGAGTGTCAACTAGTCGAGACACTAGAAATCAGTATGGAGATACTTAAAACCTAAAAATAGCTCTATCATAAGACCCAGCTACGCTACTTCTGCTATTTGTTTGAAGAATACCAAGTCAACGTATCATAGAGACGCCTGCACATCAATGTTGATTTCGTACTATTAAAGACAGATAAATGGGAGTGCCTGTTCCAGACTCCCTCTGGCATAGGGGCTGA